GGTGTTCAGGCTGACGTCAAACTAACTGGCCTGATTTTAAGACATGGTTGTTTTTTTTAAATATAAATTTTGGGACAATATGGTCTGATAAAAAGTATATTTATATACATGTTTAAGCCAGAATGATTTGAAATTTAAATATGATTTCCCTACGACTTTAAATAACATAATAGAAATGACAGAGACACACATTACTATGGAGTCTGTTAAACTCTACTGGGTGCTTTGATCAGACTGGGAGACTCCAGCTGCTGTAAAACTCAGGATGAATGCAGGGAGAATCCCCGCCTGTCTACTGTGAAGCACAGAGGAGGATCATCTCTCGTCGGAAGGCCTTGGGAAAAGCGTTACACCTTATTACATCATTACATCAGGACAGTTTTTAAAATCAAATCGAATCAGAAAAGAAAGGCCTCAGAAGAGGCAGATATATCCCAGAATGCTTTGCATGGAAATTCCTCCTTGCAAAGCATTATGGGATTTGCTGTCACAGCGGACCGCTGTGGTAAGTTGACCGAGTTCACTAGAATATATTTTTTCTCTCCAGATAAAAGTGATTTAAATATTTGATGAAATCCAGAGCAGAATTCGGTTGTTTCTAATTGATTGTCCTCCAATCAGCAGGCACCTTACCCAGACTGTAGAGGCTGAGAGCTCCGTAGTCAAAGAAGTAGCAGATGTGTCGGGACTCTGCGGACATGGAGCTGAAGGTGTGGGCACAGCTGGAGGTGAAGGGGTAAATACAGATGAGCAGCATGTAGACCAGCAGGGGCCAGGTGTAGCTGTCGCTCAGGAAGTTCATGGTGGAGCACAGAGCCAAGAAACGCCACACAAAGTACCTGCAGCCATGGGATACAGAAACCACATTACTGAGAGATATAGACATATATATAACCCATCTCTGCTTAGAGACGGTTTTCACTGACCATGTGGGCAGGAAGTGGGTCCAAATGTTGATGGTTTCGTTGTTCATCTGGAAGCTGCTGAGGATGCAGTCCATGGCGGAGCTCCGAGGATGACGATATCCTGAGACGATGCTGTCCTCCCTGAACACCTGCGACACAGACGGACACGTAGCCTCAGCAGAGAAACGGATACGTCACTTCAGCTCAGACGTTAATCCATTAAGTCAACCTAATCATTATTGTATATATATCTAAACAGAACAAGTTTTCAATCTACAGTCATTTATTATTTCATAAGACATTTTGGGGGATTGCTGTGAGGAGTTTAGCTGCTTTCCTTCCAGATCAGTCCCGTCCAAAGGCAGCATGTTAGTGGCACGAGCAAATTGAGAGCAGAAACATAAAACACATTGATCTAATTGGTGCAAATTTATTCAAAAACAGATTACAAAAAAAGCCAGGCTGATTTCCAGAAGCACAGGAGAAGATAACAGGATTTTCACCAGTATGTTTCGACGTAGGAGGAAGTTGCAAGTTACCATTATGCTGAAAATCAGGCCGATATGCTCTTTTCAGCAAAGATGTTGGTTGTACGCCGTTATCACGATGGAATTACGATGACATTCTGACTTTTAAGGCTGTGAAAACGTGAACCCTGCACCACTAAAACCGGCAGGTGAACATATTTCTGCCTCATCAACAGAAAGCAAGCTGCTGTTGGCTCCTAAGAAAAAAGGAAAATCCCTGAATAAGTCTACATAGCTCACACCCATTTAGATCAGTTAGTTGTAGTATTTCTACACACAGGTTGCCATAAAAGAGTCCTCCTGACCAGTTACCTCAACTACAGTAACAACATAAAGTCATAAAGCTGATAGGGTTTATGACAGTTTGTCACTCTCTGCATCCATTCTCTCCTAATATGAGACTCTCCAGCAGACGCAGCGGAAAAACAGCTCTCAAGTAGAGAGAAAATGACCAGCTTGCAGCCCTGAGGACATTACCCAGATATTATGGTATCAAAAAGTAGAGCCAAATAGTCGATGTTCTTTAAACTGCATCCCTGGCACATTGTATGCTTAGATTTAGTGTTGAAATCGGTTTTGTTTGGTTTAACTGGTCTGACTGGATCAAACTGTACTCAGAACATGGGAACTTAAA